GGTGTGCCGTGGATCTTCGTTCATCGACGCCCCGAAATGCAGTGCGCCCGAGCATCGCCTGCTTCTATGCAAACGTCATCCGCCCGTTCCAAATGCAGGCGCCATCAGTCGGGTCCATTTCCGGTGTGCCGTGGATCCTGGCGGACTTTGGGGGACGGCGCAAACCTAACCGTCCTTCGCATGACGCCTGGAGCTTCGAGTGTGAGTTGATTGCAAGAAGACTGTGGGTGCGAGAAATTGCTCGCCCCCTAAAATGCCCTTCAAGGGGTTCATGGGAGTTGCCGAAAATAAGGGACACGGTCGTTGTCACCGTCGGCAACCCCCACAAATCCCTTCGAGGACATTTATGAAGGCAAGCAATTTTCCGCATCCACGATCTGTGTTGCCCCCCAATGTTTTTGACCGTCGCGGTGTGCGGAGTCTTGTCGCAGACGTGCTTGTGTTTCTACGTGCTGTCCGGTTCACGTTGTCGCGCGTCGTCGTTCCCGGCGCGCGAATCGGGGGTCGCCTTCTCGACTGAACGAATCAATGTTTGGAAAAGTCGAAGGGGGGATCTTTCGTTCTTTTGTACATTTTTCTTGTCTGCGAAGTGGAGATGTTGGAGTTTGATAAGCTCTTGCACTAGTACCTGTGAATGGAACACCGCACGAGCTCGCTTGGACGATGGTGGGAATCGGTGTTTAGAGGGGTCATTTCGGGGTCGCGCTGCGCCCTATTGTGCGCTAGTGTATCCACCACTACCCTTTCTTCTACGCGTGCTACCGTTCACCGACAACCGTTCCTTGTGTGCACCCAATGACGCTACCTTCCACTGACACATGCCGCGCGAAAACAGGTTCCTTGCTATTCCAGCACCCGCCAAATTCGGATCCCGATGGACTTTGAGGCTCCGCGAAAATTTGACCGTTGTTTTCAACAGCTTGGACTTCCCCGTGCGTCTTCAATGCCGGCGGCCTGGTAGTGCGCAAGAGTGCTCGCCTTGTGAGTTGCCCTGAAAGGAGTTTATTGGGGTTGACGACGCAGTCACTGGCCGGGTCCATTTCCGGTGTGCCGTGGATCTTTGTTCATCGCCGCCCCCAAATGCGGTGCGACCGAGCATCGCCTGCTTCTGTGCGAAAGCCATCCACCCGTTCCAATCCTGCAGCCGCGCGAAAACCTGTTACTCGATGCATGCAAATCCACCAAGTTCGGATCCTGACGGACTTTGAGGATCGACGCTAATCTATCCATCCTTCGCATGACGCCTGGAGCTTCAAGTGTGTGTTGATTGTGATAGGACAGCGGGTGCGGGAAATTGATCGCCCTCTGAAAAGCCCTTGAAGGGGTTCCTGGGGGTTGCCGAAAATAAGGGACACGGCCGTTGTCGCAGTTGGCAACCCCCATAAACCCGTTCAAGGGCATTTCAAAAGGCGAGCAATTTTTCGCACCCTCGATCTTTGTTGCCCCCCAACGGTTTTGGCCCTCGCGGTGCGAGGAGTATTGTCGCAGACATGCTTGTGTTTCTGCGTGCTGTGTGGTTCGCGCTGTCTCCCGTCGACGTTCCAGGCGCGCGAGTCGGGGGTCGCCTTCTCGACTGGCCGAATCAATGTTTGGAAGGGTTGCAGGGGGGATCTTTCATCCATTTCTGCATTTTTCTTGTCTGCGCAGTGGAGATGTCCGAGTTCGATAAGCTCTTCCACTAGTGAATGGAACACCGCACCCGCTCGCTTAGACGATGGAGAGAATCGATGTTTATAGGGGTCAGTTTGGGGTCGCGCTGCACCTAATTGTGTGGTGGTGCATCCACCACTACCCTTTGTTCTGCGCGTGTTTTTGTTCAACGACAACACAGCCTTCCTTCAGTGCGCCCAAACATAGCGTTCCTTGTGTGCACCCACTGACGCTCCCTTCCATTGACACCGGCCGCGCGAAAACAGGTTCCTTGCTACTCCAGCACCCGCCAAATTTGGATCCTGGCGAACTTTGAGGCTCCGCGTGAATCTGTCCGTTGTTTTCAACAGCTTGGACTTCCCAATCCGTCTTCGGTGCCGGCGTCCTGGTAGTGCGCGACATAGCTCGCCTTGTGAATTGCCCTAAAAGGGGTTTATTAGGGTTGACGACGGTGTCACTGGCCAGGTCCATTTGCGGTATGCCGTCGATCTTCGTTGCCCTCCAATAAAAGCAATCGTCGCGATAAGTGTGGTTTGGTCGCTGTTATGCTTCTGCCACGACATGCTTTGCAGTTCGCGTAGTAGGGTGTCGACATTGCGAAGGCGCTGCGGTGTCGAAGCCGCGTGGGCTGCAAAGGCTTTGAGTCCCAGCACACAACTTCCGAATCGACGTGCAGTTACTCGGGGGTTGCGGGGGTCGGCTGAGGGTCATTAAGCCACATTTTTTTTTGTCTCCTGCCTCTCCTAGCCTTCCGTTCGTTATGACGATTGGCCGACAGTTCGTTATGACGATTGGCCGACAGTCAGTTTACTGCGACCCGTTGATAACCAGTTGGCCGTCGATTCGAAAT